AATGCAAAAGAACAACAAGCGAATAGAAAACAATCAACAAAAAAATTTTACTTCCCATATATTGAAAGTAACAAATCGTGGAAAAATCGCAACTGCAAACCGAAAAGTAATACCAATATCGAAAGGAAAGCCCAAAGACACTCTTAATAGCACCTATAAACTGAAAGGAAATATCAGTAACACATTTACAAGCTAAAACCAAGTACTACTAATAAAAACAAAAATCTTACAAAAAAAGTTAGTAACGTATATTCTAGCATTCAAAAAAAAAGGAAAACTTCAAAACACCCTTAACAAGCCTATAAAAAAAAAAGACGTATTAATAACAGTTCACAAACCTGAAAACTGAAACAACTAATAAATACAGTAAACTATACGTTCCGGTAGCTACAACAAAGACAATACTAATTCAACAAGGCATCAGCGACAAAACAAATTGACAACACCAAATCGCAAAATGATGAAAACAAAATCTATGCAAATAACGACTCACAGCACAAAATGTAATCAGGACCTATCCACCGAAATTTATAATGCTGAAATTGATGATACCGAAATCAACAATACCGAACGCAGCAATACTTGAAGCGATGACGCCAAAGACAATAGTACAAAACAAACATGTTTACCAAATCCGAATAACATGTTAAAAGCTTTGAATGAAAAAACTAATGTTAGTACAAAAAAAAAAAAGCAGAAAAAAAAAAAAAAGCAGTACTGTACAAAAAAAAAAAAACAGTGATTATCGATGATCACTGATTGTATATATACCCCATAATTAGGGTGCACCAAAATATAATTTTCTAAATAGGATTATAATGAATAAAATTATAAAATAAAATTATAACGAATAAAATGATAAAATAAAAATAAAGTTGTAACGAAATAAAATTATAAAAGAACTATTGTAGTGCAGATACTGTGATCATTATCCGTCGGCAAAGTTTACAGTCCATTAGCGGGTATTGAACTTACAGCTGCTGGCTGCAGTCGCAAATTATTACTACTCTTCTATAATCGGTAATATACAAAATTTTTAAATTGTTCTATTTTTAATTGTTAAAATTACTATATTTGGTTAATAATTATCAGGGTTGTCAGAGATATAAATTTGTGTAATATAAAGGGTAATGATAAATTTTAACGAAAATAATCCTACTAAAAAAAACTCCAAAAGATAAGAACGATAATAATAATAGTAATATTAATAATAATAACAATAATAATAATAATTATATTTATAAAGTAATCATACCACAATGTTATTCAACTTCAAACTGTCAACGAAGAAGTAGAAGAAGAGATGGTGAGAATGCTTTGTATGAAGCAATCAGTATGCTTCAGAATGAGATCCAAAGATAATAATAATAATATAATAATATCATAATAATAACAAATACTAATAATAATAGCATTAACTATTTAGTTTGCGACATAAAATTAGCTCGTTAAAAAAACAAGTGGTGACGTTGAGAAGGAATGAGATTTTTATAGCAAGAAAGATAGTTCGGTTGGTAGGAGAAGTAGATGATAGAGAATTGCAAATTGAGGAGATTAATTGGGAGAATCAGCAGAGGAATAGAGATTATGCTGAGTTAGTAGTTGAGAGAAATGAGTTACGAGCTGAGGTGAAAAATTTACGTGATTTAATTGATAATATTCCAGTTCCAGATGTATAATAATTTTTGTAAATAAATTTTAATTTTCTTATCATTTCACATTCAACTTTATTCAACTTGAATAGCAAGATTGTCAATAGGGCTTATATTTCCTAAATGTGAAATATAATATTCGATTGAAAAGTTGATAGTAATATAAAAGTTAACAAAATATTCAAATTTTGTTAAAATAATATTGTTTGAAAATTTATCTATTTCTATTAAGAAATATTTATAACAAAATATCAAAATTATTAATATAACTATTTGTTATTTGTATAAAACAAATAATTATTGTAGTGCTTATGCTATCACTATAACCTGTCAGTAGATTGAGCAATTTATAAGCAGAATTCGAACATATGACCTTGCAATAGTCATATGATATCACCATTTTACTATGATAGATAATTGTTTAATTTTTAAAATTTTTCGATTTAAGATTGTTCTAGGTTTTTGTAAATTGTCTAATAAGAATATAAGATTGCATGTGACCAAGTGGATACAATACAGGGGTTGAGTATAATATTTTTATTAAGTTTTGTTAAAGTTCGTAAAATATCGATATAATTTAACATCTAAATTATTAACAATATTAACATCTACATCAACATGGTGTATACAAATATGAAAGATCTCTATATAGACATCTAGAAGGGTAATTAAATTAATAATAAAAATAAGAATAATAGTCATAATATTAATATTAAAATATTTATAATTATAGGAAAAAGACAGGTAAAAATTAATAAGAAAAATATAATATAATAATAATATTAATTATTATAATTAATTATTAGAAAGAATAGTTGGATTAAGAATTTGAAAGAGAAAAATAAGGAGTTAAAGAAAAAGGTAAAAGTAATGAAAGAGCATAAGGATCGATGGAGACAGAAGTGTTTAGAAAGTAAAACTACAATAGGGAAGATGATTGAGAAATTAATGAAAGAATATAGAGAAGAAAAGAAATTAGTTGTAGATAAGAAAGAAGAGAAATGGAAAAAGAAATATGATGAGTTGTATAATAAAGTTAAAGATAAAAAATAGTTGAAGAAGTTAATAATGAAGAATTGAATTTGAATTTTGATAATAAAGTTTGAGTAGATTTGCTGATATTGGTTTTGGATAATGATTATAAGATTAAGGAAAATAGTATAGAAATTGTTGAAGAAGATCATGATGAGGTATTAGATTTTGATAATAAAGATGAGGTAAATTGGCCGATATTAGTTTTGGATAATAATGGTGAGGAGAGTAGTAAGAGTAACAGATCGTGATAAAATGTAGAAGTTATTTTTTCTAATAAAATTCATTAGTTTTGTCATTAAGAAAATAATAGTAGTAACTTACATAGGCACAGAGAGTTTAAATAGGTAACCCCCTAGTCGAGTTGCAGGTATGACATCTAGTGTAGAACTTAGTAATAAGCGGACT